AGTTTAGGTGGAATGGGTTCAGTAAGCAGTTGGAATGACTGAAGGAATGAATATGAAAATGAAAAACCAATATATATACATACATATGCAAAAAAAAAAAAATAGTTGACGGGACAATTATGAATGAAACGAAATTCGATTTCACAGAGTCTAAAAAATTCAAATTATCAGTTTTAAATGAATAGCTAGCAGATATTATGTATGTATGCAAACATGTAAACAGCCCGGCTGTAAAATATTACGCAATGGCTCGTCCTTGGTTTAAAAAAGTTCAAATACTTGCTCCACATCCTTTTAGTTTTCCAAAAGATGAAACCAGATTCAAAACACTATAAATATGCAATCATAAAGAATATGCATAAAAGTGCGCAGTTTAAAATATTAAAAAAACAAAAACCTTTGAGTTAATTAATACATGTGTGCGTATTTAGGTATGTAGTTTGATAAAGATTATATAGCAAGTATATATAGTAAAGTAGTAGTAAACATGACCGCTGAATATAAATACATTTATGTATGTACATACATATATATGTCAATATCTGGTTTTATTTATGACATCATATGACATCCAAGCTGGTTGGTTCACAGTACTTTTCAATGACTATAGATATTAAATTTTTCGAACTCCTAAATCTGCCTTTAGTTGTGTACGTCAACAAATTTTTATTTTTCCCACATTAAATTTCTTTTTAACCGACTTCACAAAAAGGAGAAAGGTTATCAATTCGTCGGAATATTTTTTATTTTTTTTGTACTATGTTACCGCATAACTTTGGACCACGTCAACCGATTTCTATAATTCTTTTTTTAAGGAAAGGTTTTACCTCAAAGGATGTCCCATATTAATTTGGTTTAGATCTGATCGTCGTATCATGCAGAAATTAACGGTAATCTAAAATTTTTATATGTGAATTGAAGTCGGTTTTGTTTTTTGCTTAAAAATTACTTGTTATAATATCTAATTCTATCAAAATTTGTTAGATATGATGAAAACATTTTACTTAAAATTTCAGTTTATTAATGCCCTATACTGCATATGTACGAGAAATTCCATAACAGAGGAGATCCATCCACTTCAGTTGTTGAGATTATTGAAAAAAAAAATTGCATTACTGCCAGATAGATGCTTCCCGGAAGATAATTTAGGTAGGCCTCCATAAGTGGAGCCATTCTAAGAGGCGTACCCAAGAAGGGCTTCTTGTGCTTCTTGGCACAAATGCTAAGAAAAGTTTAAGGAAAATTCAAAATTTTTATAGATAAGAAAACGGCATAAGGTACAAACAAAAGCCCGAAAAATGAAGAGTGGAATTATTGCATCTTGTTATGGAACTCCTTATACATATGTACATACATTGCATACATATGCAAGCATTAAATTTGCAAATGCAATTCCAACTGCAAATCCAAAACCATTTTCCCAACATCCGGAACAGCCCTAATAGTTTTCTAACGACCGGAGCACACTTAACACTTCACTCGATACAGTTAACGATAGACAGGAATGATAGACTACAAGATCCCGCATTCCCGGCGGCGAGGAAATTTCTCAAGTAAAAGTAAACAAAGCCTAAACTGCCAACAGAGTAATTTTCTTAATATTCAATTTTTCGATAGGATATGTTTTATAAAAATAATTAATAAAGAAAATGTTTTTAACGCTGATTTTGGTGAAAGTAATAGCGGATTTTTAGTGCATTTAAGGTTTCTGAGGCATTGTTTACATTTACTTCAAAATTGTTAAAATCGGCTTGTGAAATGCGCCTCCTTTGTTCGCTACATCGTGGGTTATTCACTTCCGAGTGAATTTCAATCAAATGCGTTTTGAATTAAAATTGGCGGAAGTTGAAATTCACTCGTAAATGAACTGCAGAACCTGCCTGTACAGCTGTAACTTGATTAAGTATATTGTTTCCCCTGACGAAACCTTAATAGAACAGATTCCTAGTTTGAAAAAAAAAATTATATCTCAAATAAATATATACATACATACTATGTATGTACATATGTTCATATCAGGGTTGTGTCTGTAAAATATTTACAATATTACATTATTTACAAGAATTCTTTACTTGTAAATAATGTAAATATTTACAGGATGATATTTTTGGATAATGAACATTTGTAAAGAATTGTGAATCGGTGCGAATCAGAGAAGGGCGCGTGAGTGATTTTTGCTCACGTTCACGCACGCTCACGTTGATGGTATTGTGAAACACGCACACTCACGTTCTGTTATATTTTTTTTCAATCACGTTCACGGACGTTTTTGTTTTCAAATTGAAACAGCATTTCATATAAATAGGCTTCATCGCACAAGTATTGTTATAAAAGCTTGGCCAAATGCCTTGCCTGGCATGAACGCGCTATTAGTTTTTTTTTTTACAAATTTCATTGAAAATAATACTCATCAATATTCATTCAATGTAATTTTAAAATGACATTATCTCATATTTTTGTTTAAAAATAATTTTTTTTTTCGAGGTTAACATCAATCGTATACTTGCCCTAACCACTATTACTTCATACACTTACACATTTTTTTACGCTTCCACTTTCAACGATTTTTCGCAAGTAGGTGGTGAATTTTTTTATAAGCGAATTCTACTTTTTGAAGAGCTTAATAGACTAGCTTTTATATTAAAAAAAGAAAAAAATAATTTTTTGATACATAAAGGAAATGTTCATTTATTTCAAAAGGAACTATTAATATTAAGAAAATTAAAGCGACCACTATTACTTCATACAGTCAACGTAACTGAACTTTAATACTGTGTAACGTCCCCCTTTGTATTTATTACGGCATTCAGTCTAAGATGCATAGTTTTAGTTAGTGATACACATTCAGTTGGAGTTATAGAATCCCAGATTTCACTAATTTTTGCCTTTAAGCCATCAATAGTCCTCTGGGGGTCATTTCGAAGTCTTCTCTTCAATAGCGCCCATAGAGACTCAATAGAATTAAGGTCCGGACTGGAAGCAGACCAGTCTAAAACAGGTATATTGTTACTGAGAAACCAGTGAGGCGGAGCACCATCTTGCTGAAAAATATATTCGTCTGCTGTAGACAGATTGGGTATACTAGGAAGCAAATTTGTCTCCAAAATATTGACGTAATCCATGGCTTTTATAGTCCCATCGATAAAATGAAGCTTTCCTACTCCTTTTGAGGACATACAACCCCATACCATGACACTCGCTGGGAACTTTACCGCCCTTCTCAAACAGTCTGTATGATATGCTTCATTTCTCTTTCGTATTACACGAGTCCTTGAGTCGCCTACGCAAACATGGAACTTAGATTCGTCGCTAAATATCAGAGCTGTGTAAGTGTGAAATCATTTTCAATTTTAAATCAACAATTTTTTTCTATCCAGTTTTCATTACTTATTCTTCGCTTACGATTGAGGTTTAAAATTTTTGAATTTTCCATTCTCTCAAAGCAGTTATGAATTCACACATCAACATATTCATAGCAAGATTGAAAAAACCAATGCCCAATCAAAAAAAGGTTTAACACTGAATGAGTATTGAAAAGGCTGCAATCTTTTATGTGTGTGCATTCTTTAACTCAGTACCAATCATTAGTTCAAAGACACCCTGGTAAATAACTTTTTGATAAAAAGGAAGATTTTTGACAATTGCTCAATTGTAAAAATTCAAACCGGCGTTACCCAATTTAAGTTTTTTGGTAGAGGGGATTTTATATCATATGTTTGGGATTATATATAAAACAGTTGTATTAAAATTTACGTTTTAAATATAATTCATGTTTTATCTTGAAAATGTTTAAAATTTACATTAAATTAGATAACTACTTCGCATAAGTTTAACATTTAGGTTGATAAAATTTTAGTGAAAATATTTTAAAAATCTTAGTGTCTTTAATAAAAAAATAGCTCATCATAAAAATTGTATCGCCGTTCGGCGTCGGCGTAAGTTTGTAGGTCCCTCCCATTTGTGTGACAGCAAAGGCGCACGCTACAAATCGGAGGAGAAGCTCGGCCAAAACGTAGCAAAAGTGTCAAGGCCAAAATATGATTATTATAAATAAATTTAGTTTAAAACAGGTCGCAACCCTCTTCAAACACCTCAAAAGTATTCCCAATATTATTTAGTTGTGAACCCGCATGAGTGCGAAATTACCATTTTTTACCAGAATTTCCAGATTTTACCGGAAATCATACTTGGTTTTCTGGCAACTGAGAGGACAAATAAGAGAGTAAGTAAGGTCATCTCTTTGTCAGAAGCTACCTGGTGGTAAATTCTGGTAAATGTGTCAAAAGATCCGATGTAGTGTGTTTGACAACCAAATTGTAAACAAAAGAGAAGTGCACTCTGCTAATGCATGTTGAAAAGTAAATAATTCCTTGCTTGAGTGGATGCTAATGAGTTTTGGTTAAATTACAAAACGCTTAAAGGTATTAGCCGTCATTTTACGTTTAAAAACTTTAAAACTTTAACACATTACCACCCTATACTCTATATATGATTGACCATTGAACTAAATCGTTGTTTATTTGGGTAAGATTAAAATATATTTTACTATTCAATATTGGAGTTGGTGTGAAACAAAAATTAATAATTTATTGTTATGTATGCAAATGAGAACTACAATTCTGAGCTTATTGAGCATCTCTTAGTCAAAAACAAAGGCAATTTTGCTTGATCAAGTTTCGAATCTAAGAAGAAAATGTTTTTAACAAACAAAAGGTTAATAATAAAATTTGAAGGATTTAAGATATTGCGTATGGTAGCATGAAACGTCACAATCTTCTTAATTGTCAGGCAGTTGATATGGCTACGAAAAAGTGACAATGGAAACACATAGCTGAAGATTTCATACTTACAGTGGGATAAACTTCAAACCTCTAATATAAATTAGTTAAATTTAGTTATTATTTTTTTTTTAACAATTTTAAGTTTTCGTTTGGAATAGTTTTCATGAACTTATCTATTAGGAGATCTCTTTGGAAAATTACCGTACATCCGATATCTATTGAAATTTTGACATCCTCACTTTTTGGAAAAAGAAGTTCAAGATACAAGTTTATGTGCA